AATTTACTTACGATTTTCGATAAAAGAAGTATTCCATGAATCGAAGAGTGGTTCAAATTACACTTTTATTCAATTTTATTTCGAATTAAATGTCTTATCTTTTGTTTTTTTTTTGTTTTTGTTTTTGTCTCTTTGTTATTGTTATTTTTTTGTTTCTTTGTGTTGCTTGTCTGTATATAACATTAGTTGCAGTTGTTTGGTTGTGTTTTATTGATTTACTTTTCATTTTAATAAATTCTCTTAACATTAGGAATACGTACATACATTTGTTTAGCATATATATTAAGATTACATAATAATAATAATAATAATAATAATAATAATAATTATAATAATCATAATCAATTTCGTGCTCTCCACGCCATCACACAGAACGGAGAAGACGAAAAATATGATAGAAGCCCTGGAAAGCTTGTTAAACTTTCTTTTTTTATTTATTTATTTTTTTTTTTAATAAAATAATATTTCAATAATTTTTACACATAATTTAATAACAATAACGATGTATTATTACATTTTCTCCAAATTTCATTGTAACATCAAAAAAAAAAAAAAGAAAACATAGAAAGATAAATAATGTCACGTCCAGTCGCGTTAATCTAACTATCTATATGCATTTTTGTCATTGCAATTGTTTAAACCGAAAATAATAGAAAAAAATTTAAAAAAAAAAAAAAAAAAAATGCTTTTTATGTCAACTTTTTAATTACACATTTCGGATTATGCCTAAAAATTAATTGAAACGATTATTTTAAATTTTGAAAAGATTAAAACAATTATGATAAAAAGATAATAACCTTGAAATATTTTAAAAAGTAATGAAATCATGTAATAAAATGAATAAATTCAAATTGTATACATTTTTATAATGAAATGAATTATTTCATAAAAATTAAATTTCAAAATTTTTAATTTAATATTAATTATTGACAAATTATAATTGCGCTCATAGCGATATATCAATCGAAATGAAATCCTTTTTGATGGATCAAAATTTATCAAAGTTACGCAAGACTGTTCATACAAATGGTTACTTATGGATTTGTTCACAATTAATATCTAACTTAACGGTTTTCATTTATTATTTACCTTAAGCAGAAGATATTCAAGATTTACATATTTCTCTCGTTTTCGTTAGCTTTGCTTATTTTCAATTAAAATATATTTATATATAGGAGAACATTATGCGTTAATGTTTTTCTGACGATTGCTGTGTGTGTGTGTGTGTGTGTGTGTGTGTGTACGTATGTATGTATGTGTACGTATGTATGTTCATGTATGTTTTGTAATGTATATATATATATATATATGTATGTGTATGGATGTATGTATTTATGTGTGTGTGTACGCTTATGTGAATTTATATATGTATATTTAAAATCGCATTCTCTCTGTACATATACGTGCGAAATGAATAATAATAATAATTACATCAATCTACCGCTTGACTAATATGATTACAATATACAATTAATCTAGAAAATATTGAGCACTTAATAGAATAGAAACTCATTTATTCCATCATTCAATAATTAATTAATTAATTCATTCATTCATTCATTTATTCATTTATTTATTTGATAAAAATCTTTAACTTATGCTTGTACGTACTGAGACTTGAAGTCGACTTACCTCTGTCTCTATCATTAAGCTCAATATTTTTTAGACAATCTAAAATATCTGTACAAATATCTGTGAACACCTATCCGCGCGTTTTCTATGCATACATATATATATGTGTGTGTATGTGTGTGTATTTATGTGTACGTTTGTATGCTAATTAACAAAGTTAATCAAAAAAAAAAAAAAAAAAAAAACAAAACAACACAAAAACAAATAATGATGTGAAAATATTGATATCAAAGATTGTCCCAGTTTTACTTGCCAAGTTTATTAGAGAACAAAAACAATGTCATATAGATAAACATCTAACTATATATTGCAGACGATAATGAAAAAAGTAGAAAAGTATTCAAAGTAAAAAATCATAAATATTATGATTTATTATACTTTTCATATGAGTTGAAAAAAGAAAAAAGGGGGAGAAAAAACAAAAAAAAAAAATAATAAAAATAAAAAAAAAAATAAAAATAAAAATAAATAAAGAAAACACATTTATAAAGCGATGCAATATTTTATGCAACGCGAGAGTGCATACATAACAGGTGTGCAAAATCACTTGAACATTAACAACATTTATTCCACGCATCCTTGAACAGTTTATTTATTTACTTCAATTTGTGTAAAAGAACATGTGCACATGAATGCAATACAATGTATATATGCATCGTGATAAACTAAGCAAGCAAGCAAGCAGTACATACCTGTGAAAGTTGAATGCATTACGTATTGCGTGCGTCCATGAGAAATCGTTTCTCTTCTGTTGCACGTCATTTCATTTATAATCAATATGAGATATGATTTTGTAAAATTCTGATATTCATTTTGATAAGAAGAAGAAAAAACAATTTCAGTTATACGACAATACACTAATACGCACAAATATTGATATAATTTACAGGCAGTGAGTGAGTGACTTAAACTCAATGCAATCAAAGGCTTAACTTTGATATCATTGGAAGAAACATTTGTACCGCTGTTAAATGAATCGTATGATCAGATTTTAGTTAAAAAGAAAGAAAATCATTGTTTTTCATAGATTTTATGGATTGCGAGTTTTTTTCTTCCCCCCTTTTTTCTTTTTAGAAAAGTTTAAACTTTGAAAATATATTTATTAAATATATATGTAGGTATGTATGTATGTATGTATGTATGTATGTGTGCGCGCGGTATTGTTACGATATTATTTAGACATCTGCTTTTATGCAATTTTTTTATTTTCAAATTTTTTACATTCATCACCGACAGACGAGTTCAGTTTGTCAAAACGTTGGTAATAGTCAGAGGAGGAAGGGTGAGGGAGGAAGAGTCACCACAAAGTATATAGATACTTGATCAGTATCGAATTCTAAGAGGATTTAAGTATGCCCATCTTTTATCTATCTGTCTGTCTGTCTGTCTGTCTGTCTGTCTGTCTGTTTATGTAACGTCTCTAGTGGACAATCTCCAAACTGAAGATATTCGCTTCAAATTTGGCAAAGACATTGGAAATCGAAAATGGGATTAATTGGCAAATGGACACGCCTACACTACGCTATAAAATGAGAACATCTCAACTTTTTGGGTCTTTTACGCGTTACGCGTATAATTTTCACATTTAGTTTATTACAAAATATGTTAATTTAGTTTTTCTCTCTTATTTTAGTCTTTTTTAGGACGATAACGATGATAAGTATAAGTATAAAAGATTCGGTCAGAACCGAATGTAATTTTTTTATTTGATTTTTTTGTTTTTTTTTTTTTTTGCTTTTTTGTTGGCTGTGACTCTCTCGATCATCGGTTAGTCCTTTGAAAAGCCTTTCGCTTAATTATTATACTCTACACCACTTTTGGTACAGGGTATGTTGAGTTTATTCGAACGAATGTAACACGCAGAAGGGCTTAAGATAGACCTGTCTTTTGTTATATCGATCGATTCAAAATCATTTTCTAAATCGATATAAGCCTGTCTGTCTGTCTGTCTGTCTGTCCGTCTGTCCGTCTAATGTATGTCCATGTATTTTTGTGTTCAAGCTGCAGGTCGCAATTTTTGAGATATTTTAATGAAATTTGGTACACTTGCTTAAGGACGGTACTTTAGATTAAGGACGAACGCTATTGCAAATGGTTTGGATTGGATCACTTATCGAAGCACATCCTATATAACGGCTTATTCTGTAAAGACGTTATATGGAAAAATATTGCAATTTTCAAGATTTCTTGGCAAAAATGGCTAAGTAGTACTATTTCGGCATTCTAAATTGGTGTGAAAACTTTGGGCCAGCCGGGGCAATTTTTTGACGAGCCCCTCATATAACCGTTCCTAGAGAAACTAAACCTTACCATGGTAAAAAGGTCGAATTTCCAATATATTATTGGCTTATAAATTGACAAAGATTAACTGAATTTGGACCACGTGCGTCTATTTTATACATACCATCCCATATGCAGATTTTCATGAAACGCAAACCCTTACATGCCAAAAAATCTAATTTTAATTTTTTTGTTCATGATAGTAATAAAAAAAGTAGAATTAAATGGACCTAATTTGAACCATATGGGTCCATTTCTTGGCTCTACTTCATATAACATCTCTCATGAGTAGTAAGCTCTTCGAAGAATGCTTTATTTTGAGTACGCTATGTTGAAAGTTAATTCACAGTAACGTTTGAACCAAAAAAATTAACGGTAGGGAATTTGGATCATGTGATCCATATATGGAGAGAAAATCGAACCTTTCAATACGCGGGCTTTCATGAAAATTATAGAAATGTGCACTCTTTGGTGTGTGATTACCAATACGAGGGAATAGCTGTACTAGGCGAAATGGTGTAGGGTATGTAATAGTTGGTGTTGCCCGACTATAATATTCTTGCTTTTTATTTTCATTTAATTTACTTAGTGTTTCATTACTTGCTATAGTTATAATAAATCATTTTAGAGATATTTTATATCTTCTTTTGTTTACTTTTTAAATTTTTAATACCGAATGAAAGACTAAACATATATCCCAAGTATGTTAAAGTCATACCATGGGCTATATATAAACATATAATACATATCCATGACCGTCATTACATGTGGATGTATATATATAATATATTAACCAGAATGTGTGATGAGACAGAAAAAGAGAGATACAGATAGATAGATAGATAGATAGATAGATAGCGAAAGAAGGAGAAAAAAGGAAGAAAGAAAGAAAGAAAGAAAGAAAGAGAGAGAGAGAGAGAGAGAGAGAGAGAGAGAGAGAGAGAGAGAGAAAGATTCTCAAAATCTACATAAATTTCTTAATTATAGAATCCCTTAAATAAATTTACAGCGGATCACCACCATCACTATGCGTCTGTTATTGATTACAACAATTACATATATATGATGACCGTCTTTTCGTATATTTGTTTTTTTTTCTGTTTTGTTTTTTCTGTTTTTTTTTTTCTTTTTTTTTATTATCAAATGTACTTTCCTTACTTTACGTCTTGCTTCTCGCTCTATTATATTTTATTTTTATTTATATTGCGTTATAAAGTTGTGTTGTTGTATAAGAAATGAAATGAGAACAGAAGAAAAACCAAAACAGAAAAAATCGTAAAACACAAACAAAAACAAAAAAGCAAAGAAAACGAAAATCAAATTTACCAACACATTACGTCACATCTGATGAAGATGAGATGAAACAGCATCTCATTGCAATAATTTACAACATGAGAGTCTTAACATTTATATGCACGTATATATATATATATATATATATATATATATATATATATATTTATATATATGTATATATGTATAAATATGTATACATACTATCGGTTGGTTGCTTACGCTGCCATTTCCTTTATGGAAAACTTACAAATTCTACATTATTGTTAAATTATTTAATCACCGCTTTTCTGCTGAGTATTGTTCGGCAGTGCTGCAGCAATGTTGACAAGCATTTCGGGAAATCTTGCCCACCATCACCACCGCTACCATATTTGTTTGCTGTTGCTGTTGCTGTTGCTGTTGGTGTTGGTGTTGCTGCTGCCTTTGTTGTTTAAGTGGATGCCTATAAAGCGGGGAAGAGCTCTTTGTGCTGCGAACACAATCTGTACAATAATTCCTTAAATTCTGTATAGCTTGCGTTGTTGTTGAACAATTGCTACTTTGGCTGATGAAACGGACACTTTTGTTGCGGTTAGCGATAGCAGTGATGCCTTTAGCTGTAGTTGATTTTATTGTTATGTTCAAGTTCCGGGCAAACGATGCCAACACATGCAATAATGCAAATGTTCCCACAATTGTGGTAATGGCTGCAAAATGGCTTAAACTTTGCAATTTACCAGCAACGGCTGCATTCGTTTGCATCGCTTCGGGCCGTTCTCCTAGAAAAATTAAAACGGTTAAACAGTTTATTTGTTCTTGTTGTTGCTATTCTTATTTCTCTTATATATTTTGTACAATAATAACTTTAAAAATTTATATTTCAGGAATAAAAAAAGAAAAGCGTAACGAGTACTCGAAAATAGAACGCATTGTTAATGAAGTGAGAAATTACAACAACTACGATCGTTTGAACTAATGTTTGTTAATAATCGTGTTGAGGGACGCAAGCATTTCATTATTGCTACATAATCATCGTGCTCCCTATAATGAACTGCAGGCTACGAATAGACTGCAAACTTGTTAACACAAAAAAAATATCTACAATAATCGTCCACGGTAAAGGTGATGGTTTTGAAAAACCTCTAAGAATGAACGCTTTAACTACAATTATTCTCGACTTTTCCATGATGAGTAACAGAAACAAAAACAAAAAAAAAAAAAAAAACAAAAAAGAAAACACTAAAAATGCTTCTTGTATGTTAAAACGATACCCACTGTCTGTCAATATGATTGTATTACGTACAACTACGCCTGGGAGACTTCCAAAAAGGACAGAATAAATGTGGAAAGCAATTTGAAACGCTTCTATCGGTCAGCTTGTCACTTCAGTTGTCGTCATACAAATACTTGCGTTTCTAGCAGTTGAGTTCCATAATATAAGCTAAGCAAACGAAATGGATTGAATTTGCTTAGTAACGCGCCCGGCGCTTAGTATACTAAACCTATCTTTGAAAAAGAAAAAAAAAATCGAAATTTTCAAAAATTTTTAATAATGACTTGCTATAAGCTAATACAGGTCTCGATATACTATTGCAAAAGAAATGTTTATTAAAAATTTTCTTAGTGTTGTCTTAGTACACTAATCCTGATCTTAATTTATACTAATTATCAAAACTAATGAATGCCGAAGAGAATTTGCCTGCAAAAGTTTAATTCGCGTTTTTCTAAGAACGCTTATCCAAAAATTTCAAGTTCTGATACATTTAAAGTTCCATAGCTCACGTATACAATTTTGTAGTTCACGGAAATTCTTACGTTTTGATAACTCGAGAATATCTTTTTTGTGAATATTAGTTACGTATTTTACACCTTCTATACGGTTCATATTGTTAAGGGCTTTAATGAGAGTTCAATTAAAGGAAACAAAAAAAAAAAAAAAAAAAAAAATTATAAAAAGGTATTATTTTCGCAGTTCAAATTGATTGCTTTAAAGTAAATATTAAAGAGAAGCTATTCTGTTTTAATTATTTGTAATTTATATCAATAGTCATTCAATTTAAATTTTGCGGTAAACAAGTGCTCTTGTTAACTCTTTGTTTATTTTCAGCGGTTATATAATCCCATCCGGTTCATTTAAATCACAACAACAATTGTTATAATAATAATAACAATAAAAAAAAAAAAAAAAAAAAAAAAAAAAAACAATATTGAAGATTATTGACATACAAACGAAATGTTCATATATATGCAATAATACATTTAAAATATATATATATATATATATATACATATATACACTCCAAGATAGATAGATTTAGATGCGGCATGATGTTGATTATTAAAGCGCGATACAATTTTAAATTACGTGAAAACTTTATTTCAATTTATTAAATTTTAATTTATGTTTACATATCAGCATATACGTCATATAGTAAAAGTCCACAGGAGCGGATGCATATCTCGAAGGGAAAGCTTGCAATAAATGATAATAAATTTTCTACTATCTGGGTATGTTTTAGCTAATGCTCGTGTGTTATGCAAAAGCTGTTCGCGTGTAACGCGTGACTTTTTACGGTAACTTATTTGTGTACATTATATAAACGTACTTGAAAAACTTATAGCTGATCGCTATTAACATCGTTTTATGTTTATCTTCTGATATTTGAAAAGCAATTTCCATGAAGGTGGATTCAACAACAGCAGGCACTCAGTTGCAGCTGATTAAAATCTGCATTATAGCGCACTTTAATATTAACAAAAGCCTCTTAAAAGCAAATTTATATTACGTAATATCTTTTTATTTCTTGCATTATGTGTGTACGCACATGAAGTTTGTGTCTATCTCTGTTGGCTGAATCTAAGCACAACTTATATATATATATATATACAACCTATATATATATATATATATATATATATATATATATATATGTTAGGTATATGATATATAGTTGGACGAATACATATACAAACACACATATATATATATATATATATATATGTGTTTGTGCAAATATATGTTCATGTACATTACGTACATTATCTACACTATGCTAGTAGCCGTGACGTGAACTATTCGCTTACTTCGCTATGCTTACTTATCTGTCAGTGCATTCATTCATTCATTCATGGCTCTGCAAAATCCGCTTCATTATGTATGCTTTTGTGTGCACTTACCTTGCAATACATGAACACGTACACTCGCTATCTCAGTATTGGATGGATAACATGAAAATTTTCCAGAATCTAACAGATCAGCATCATCAATAAGCAAAATCGATTTGGTTTCCTCCGATTTGATGGTTTTAAATTTAAGACGACCACCTGAGTTCTCCTCGCTTAAAACCTGCCGAAGCGTATAAAGAAGAATGAAAGAGAGCAAGAATTGCATAAATGACGTTTGTATTTTGCTTTTTTTCCCTTATTCCATTTAAATAAATTTTAAACAAAATAACTAAAAATATTCTTTACGTGATGCGTTAAGAACAAAGTATTATATTAAGCTTTTAATTACAAATTAAATGTTTGCGGTTTAAAGAAGAATATAACATGAACATCGCCGCGCCCCCCCCCCCCCCCCCCACCCTTTCTCTTCCTCTCCCCATCTGCCCCTCTCCACAACACACAACATGTAATTATCGAATTTATAACAATGTGCTGAATACCGGTTTCCGTTCAGTTAATACGCTAAAATTATACATGTACTGTATAAAGCACACACCTTTCGTTTTCGTTTTCATTTTTTTTTTTTTTTTCTTTTTTGAATCGCATGTTTGAGGATAATTTTTTTTTTTTCTTTGCACTTTGTTCGCTTAAAAGCGTGCTCGCTAGAGGTGCGCTATATTAATTTTCTCTTTCGTTTCTCAGCCTTTGTGACTTTCTTTATAATTAAGGGCGGTAGCTTGTATGTGTGTGTGCTCATATATATATATAGTTTTGCTTAGTAGTGTAAATATATATGTATGTATATGTACGTATTATATATATATAATGTAGGTATGCGTAGAATGTTTTTGAAAAAAAAAAAAAAAAAAAAAACATAAAAATAAAAATTCTTCTTCCGTTTCTTTTTTATTTCTGTTTGTAACGTTTCATCTTATTCGGTTGAGAAGCTTTTAGATGTGAAGACAAATTGTTGAGGTTGGCAGGAAAATAATCAAAACTTGTCTAATTCAAGGCAAACAAATGTTTTAAAAAAAAACAAAAAAAAAAAAAAATGAGAAAATAAAAAAAGAATGAAAACAAGTAAGAAATTTATGTTCGCTATGAGACGAAACTTTAGTACTCAACGCATTAGGGAAAATGTACAAAACTTGTAAAATAACTTTTTAGTTATGGGCGTGTCAATCGCTTCGATTGAATAATATTTATGATATCTCTGAGAAGTAATAGTGATTTTTGTGCCAATTGCGAGTGTTCACCTTGAATCTCTTTGTGTCATCCCTAAACCTGGCTATGCACTTGTAATGCACTTTAAATTCGAAATTCAATGAGGCAATGATTTGCCGCGTCTGTCCAAATCCGCTTATCTCATGTATGCGATCGTTACCTAAAAAGCCAATTGTTACGGTAAGGTTTAGTTTTTAGTCGGGATTTTTAGTGTTTCAAGGATAGACAGGGTGAAGACTGAACTCGAGTTAGTTATTATATACAAACTCGCGCGAATTTACTCTATTTAAGATAAGATGTGTGATACGTATTTCTGAGTTTTGTAAATGAAAAACACACATACTCTTCTTAGTATAAGGGTAAGTACAAGAGAAAAAAAACAAGTGATAAAAATTTGTTGACGTCTTTAATAAGAAAGTCTATCTTTTGACATTTACTTTAAGTTTTGTAAGCGAACATTTTTAGTAATGCGTATCTTAAACCGTTACGAACGGATTAAAAAATTAGTATACCAGAGTCACATTTTGTTGGTTATAAGGAAATAAAAAGCATTTCCGATGTTGTTCTAAACTTTTCGACTGCAAACATGAAAAACTCGACGCGGAAATAACAATTTTTAAGAACCACGGGCGGACAAGTACAAAGCAAGCTGCATAAATATGTACATGCATATTTGCATTTTGATTCCATTGTGTATAAACTATTTGAAAATTATTCTAAAACAAATTGATTTGTTTATTTCTTAGACAGCAATTTGAATATAAAACAAGTTGAAATATTTTAACTGGCCAAGGTCGACTTCCAAATACTTTACATCATTTCGCCTAATTACGCCTTCTTCACGCAAATTTTGTCGTCGATTTTTCAAAATTGTAAATGATTCGCGTCCGTTCATAAAGACGAGTTCAAAAAATCGTCCCAGTTTGAGTTCACATCTGCCACAAGAAATTTATTTGTCAAACTAGTATTCTGTATACTAGTTGTGCATAAGGCTTTATTACCCAATAAAACCTCAGTCCTTCTAAGGCTGTTTACATGGCTGCATCTTATCCTTTGTGAATCTTTCCATTTCCATAATATGCTAAAGTACTTTTTGTTTGATGATTTTCGACGAAAGATGATAGAAATAGTATCGTCTTTTTTTGATATACGCAGATTGGACGGACAGATGTTTTTTGAACGGTTTGCCGTTGTCGATTAGAGAATATTAATTTTAATAATGCCATGATCTAATTTTCTCTCAGTGCAATACGTGTCGAAGAGATCCGAAGAGTGAAAACCTTTTCCTTAATTTTCTTAAGCCAAAGTGTTCTTACTTGTGTTTGGTCATTGTTTTAACCTCTTGATAGACCACTAAAAGGTAATATGGATAATTAATTTTATTCGTTTTATTCGTGAAATGTAGAAATTACCTCTAAAGGTATCGAAAAAGATATGTATATCCTTGATCCGGGTCACCATTTTAAATCGATTTAACCATATACGTCCGTCCGTTCGTATGTCTTTTATCTTGTATTAGAAATCTTATCGCTTACATCAGAGAAGTAATTCTTTCATGTACGTATCAAACAAATCTTAATAGCTAACCTATTTGATATATGTCTCTAAAAGTCCTACGCAAGGATGGTTCACATTGGTTCATTAATATGTTTAAAATTAAAACAATTAAAAAAATTGCATTCAATTGTGATCGAACTTTTTTACCCATCACCATCATCCTAAAAAGGAAAAAAGTCAATTTTTATAGACTATAATATTGCGTGGGCGCGGCTGATTTTTTCTACTTTCAGAATAAAAGCTGAACTGTATATGTTATACGTGTTGTATGAGTAACAACCAAAAATCACGGAAAGCAAATGTATTCGCAATTTTTGCATTTGCATAACCTTGTGGGGCTGAGTTTAAGGCGTACCCTTTGATCTGTTTAGGTCATGTTCAAATTCTTTTATAAATTTGTAGGCGATATCTTCTTTTTTGCGAAAGGGAGATTGTATGCCACAAATACGACGTAGATGCGTATGGATGGAAAGATTGAGAGACGAACAGGTGAACCTGCTTAAGTCCGGCATTCCGAATTTAAAACTGGCCAAGAATATGTATAGACATCATTCAGTTTTTGGAGATTTTGCAGTTTCTGTGAGATATACGTGGGGTACCGGTGTAGAATTGTCTTTCAATCGTTTTGGTCCAGTTTCAATACTGACTTGCGTGCGAGAACTACCGACGTCTCTGCCGCATAATTGATGCCTTCATTTATGCGGCCAAAATAGTCTTTACAATAGACATCACGCATATGGACAGATGGACAGACGAAATCAGAATTTGCTGCCGATCAAGAATATATATATGTTGCGTTTTCCGCATTGCAAATGTTTTGACAGAATTAATATGCCCTTTATACTCCTATAGGCAATAAAAAAAAAATTGTTTCGCATTTGTTTGCTGCTAGTTTTCATTGATAAACTTCAACGATTCGAAACTAAATTTTACTTACGTAGTATGAGGAGGTTTCTCGTGGTGATGACAATATAAACGAATTTAGTTCACGAAATTCAAAGAAACTATGATGAGTATGAAGATCAATAAGTATATGGGTCGTAATTAAATAAAGAAATCCTAAATCTTGTTATTCATCGAACATAGTGAATATACTCTGGCGAGTGGAATCGTCAACTAATCTTATTTCCATGATATTTTAAGTGAAAAAGTCGGGGAAAATTTATTGTCGCGAAAAAATATGACTTACCGGCTTAAATAAAAGTTTGTTAGCATATGTCCATTCTAAACCCCTAGAGGAATCTTATAAATACCGCAGGTATATTTGACGGGGATGTCTGCTACGCAAGTAAATCATAGAGAATAGGTTGAAATGTGTGGTTTTTTCCGCGATTGTCTTAGTTCCTTATTTACATTCCACACTACTTGCCGTGCGGGCATATTAAGTTTGTGCAGGTGTATACATCACCAAAGAAAACTTACGATTTCAGTATTTTTATCCCTCTATCCGAATCATGTTTATGCATACATTTTAATGCCAAACTTACAGGTCACTAGCTAGTCTTGAAACATTATCATGAAATACTTGATATACTAAAATATTTTGCCTCTCCATGGAAGGTGGATGGGATCGAATTATTTTTCCAGCCTTATTTATAAAACGCTTTGAATTATCCTCGAGTAATCCTATTTTCGCTTGCTAACCGAACGCGATGGACTAGGACGATAATTTTAAAGCGCTTCCATAGTATGACAGGATTTAATTTTTAGTATTATATAGGCATCGTTTAGCTAATATAATAGTTTTATAAATAAATCTAAAGCGCTTAGGCCCTAACACTTATATTGTAATGAAAGTTAGTTTTTGGTATCGGACGGCAAACAGCCATGACGGAAATTAGGCGAAGGCATAACATTTCTAAAACAACAAAACGGGTAGAAAAATCCGAACAGGCCAAGTCTTTCTTTCGTTACTGCTTTTTGAGTCTTGAAAACGAGCGTTTGTAAAACTCCCAAAATTTTTATATCATTCCTTAAAATCTTGAAGGAATTTTCTGCGCAGTTCCCCTCTTTTGCGCGATCCTTTCGAAATATCGCGTAAAAGAAGTGACCAATAGCAGGAAATTTATGATTTTAAAGCTTACAATATATTATTTACATGTAACTCATACGCCATGTCATGCGAATTGACTTTGTATTTTAAACCAGCCTCAGAAATTAAATTTACATATAAAATATATATTTTTGATGGTCGGTATATGAAATAGGTTCGCAACAAACTTAAGGCTCGTGTTGCGGCGAGTGATAGTTTTATTGTCGACATTGGATATTATAATCCTTTTATTTGCAGGCTTTGCTTGTCAAGTCTTTTTTTTTTGCTGTATGCAATTATTTAGTTTTACTATTATTGCTATGACATGTCAATATATATATATATATATATATATACACATACATGTAAGCCTTTTAGGTTATTTCCGTGTGTTTTTTTTTTTTTTTTTATGAATAAAAATTTTTGTTTAATCATTTATTTACTGGGTGTTTACCTTATCTTGATGATACCAAAATATGTGGGTCGGTTGTTCTGGACTGAATTTTATTACGCACGTTAGATTGATTGTGCTTCCCTTGTCGACATATAAATCAGGTCCGCCCAATATGGTTGCTGTTGGCACTATAATTAAAATTAAAATAGATGCAAAAATTTTCATTTTGAAAATATACGCTTGTTATCGAGCAGCTCGCTATTATTGATTCGTTGAATATAATATACCTATATATCATATATATATATATATATATATATATATATATATATATATATATAGATGTTAATGTATTTGTACTATTGTTCCAAGTTATATTATTCAGCAGGATATACTTACGAAGCTGCATGCATTGTCACCAGATTTTAACATTTATAGAGATTTTATGATTAGTTTTTAATTTGATTATGATTTGCAAGGTATTTATTTTTTCATCCAATACCGAGAGATGAAAATGTTCCATGTCATTAATAAAATCAAGGAATTAATTTTAAATTATTTTCAAACGTCAGTGCAGTTGATTTTGTTTTGTTGAAATGTGTGACATTTAATGTCAAACTACTTAGACTTTTTGCTTTGCTAAAAAAAAAAATAATTTACAGAGCGCACTACTTTTCCTGTTTAATTCGAAAATAGTGCTATTGAAAGTCATCGATGAAAAATGGATGTGCTATGATAAAACAAGCCGTAAAAAATTATACGTGAAATCGTTTCAATGTTGATGGCGATACCCAACGCTTTGTATACGAAACGATCTGAATGCCAACCAGCCAATCGCTGAGAAATGTTCCTGATAACAACCGATGCCTGCATATGTATGCGCCTTACTCGTTGTTCACAACAAAATTTACTTTTCCTGCTTGCCTTTGCTTGAAATGCTTACGGTAAAGAAAAATTGCATAGCATTGAACAGTCGCAGCATTCTGCCACACATACGAAATTATACACATTGACATATTTTAATCAACGCCTTCAACATTTTGACTTTGGATAAACCAAACGGAAAAATCGATTTTAAAGTGCGCGGTATTTCTGCTTATTCAGCTCTAACGTGAAGAGTATTTAAAACTTGGAGCAAATTTTGTCAATTAATTATCTTCAAATTGATAAAATAATATAACAAGAAGGTTACACTCAAATCTTCTATCATCAACCGTTTGCAAAAGTTTAAATGAAAGAAAAAATTGTTTTTCATTAAAAGGATACATTGGCGCATAGAAGTCTTTTTGCAAAGAACTGATAATAAGAAGGCAAAAAAAAAAAAAGAAAAAATTTTCGATGTAACTGTAGATGTAGATGCGGTTTCTTTCCATTTTCGAACGTGAATAGTTGGTTAGGGTCATACATAAAAAATTGAAGAGCAAAACCTTTTAAATTTTAGCCTAAAGGAACAGAGATGCTTTAAGTTTACGATTTACTGTGGGTGTGTCCTTTGACCGATTTAATTCAATGCCAAACTGCATGCAAGAATTTTCAATTGTTTTTTGCCGACTTTGAAGTCTTAAGTTCTGCTTCTTAGTTTTTGTGTCAACGACACCTATCCACAAAGACACACCGACGGGCAGACATGAGTAGATCGATGCAGCATTTGACGCTGATCAAGAATACGGATACTTTATTCGATCTCTAAAGCTTAATTTTGGATTCTGCAATCTTGATGGGTATGGGAAATGAATATTCCCTCTTTCCTTCGATGGGCGCTTTAATAAAAGTGAATCTGTTTAATTATGCACTTATTTTCTTATATATATTTCAGTCCAAACAAAATTGAGAAATTTTGGTAGAAATGTTTTCACAGAATATAGCCCAGACGGACCTTGCACTGTCGGATCAATTGTTTCGCTCTCTGGAGAACTCTCTGAATGATTTCAACATGCATTAAAGTACGAGTAAAATATGTTTAAATTTAGATAAATAAAAGGATGCTATGAATTTTTTTCTTAACACAATTTTTGCACTTATTCGCTTTCTCATCGGAAATACCGATCGGAAATAAGAAGAAGCTAATGTTTTTTGAAACAATATTTTTGCACTTGTCATGTATAAATTTTACAATTTGTAATAGAATCGCTTGATGTTAGATATATATCTGGTTTGGTGTTTAGAGATTGAGGTAATTTACTTACAGCCCTTTTATTATCTGTCAAACAAAATTTAAATGTTCACGATAAACTAAGGTTTCTCAATTTTTTCCAAATTATAGAAAATATTGATCTGACACACATAGATGATATATGTATACATAGAGAACGATTATTTTAAATACAAAATATTTTAATAAGATATAAAGCGTGACTTGGCCTTATTATCCTTATTTTACCCATGAATTATTATACTCTACTGGACTTATGATGCAAGGCCAGATTAAATTTTGTACGGATGTATGCATTGTCTAGAGTAACTTGTGACGTGTGCCAAGGAGGAACGCTATTGAGGAGGCCACTTATTCGACTACTGCCAATGTAACGCCTCATTTTGCGAGGTCGTTATGCGAACAAATGTAGGAGAATGTAGCGTGTAGCGTGTTTGACTATTGTGGTTTCATTTAATTCTAATTAACATCAGTTCCCTTAATTGGTTGAATTGTTTTTTAAATTAAAGAAAGAAAAAGATTAGAAAATGTTCAACATTAGCAACTAAGATTATCAACTGTATTACACGATTTTACAGGTTTTTGTTAAGTGAGCAACTATTTTTTTTTTTTTTTTTGCAAATAAAATTAAACAAAAAAAACAATTTAAATAAATTGTTTGAATTTCTTTTTTGCTTTTAAATTTTATATTTGCACTTATTTGCATATAATCAAAGAGAAAAACTAAAAGCTTCTGCTTTTTGCTGGTAATTAAGCATGATGATGGAAAAACAAAATAAGAAGACAAAGTATTTTTTTTTTTTTTTTGAAAACAAGCGTAAAAGATTAACAATAGTATCGGGATAAAAAACTGTAATCGGCTTAAGACGATTTTTCCATATGCATCGCCTAAGGGAGGCTTTTAGCGAATTTCTTTTTTAGATGGAAGGCAAAGTAGCCGAACAATAATGTTTGGGGGTACGATTAAACATAGCTTTAAGCATAATGTCAGCAAAAAAAACAAAAAAAAAAAAATTATTTTTGTAAATTGTTTGAAAATAGCAACATTGCAGCCATTCTCTAGAGACATCTTTCACTCGTTGTAGCTCTATGGCAAGCTGCATAACTGATCCAGATTTTAATTAAAAAAAGGAGAAAAAAAATCGTTTAAAGGGGTTTTTGGAAAATGTCACTTCTTGATTTATGAAATATGTTTAAATAAACATAGTGAAAAAATCCTACGTTTTTTACTACAAAATCTTGTTTCGAGAAAGTCGCCCGTCTACTGTTTAAAATGCCAAATTTTTTGACCGTTTAAAACTCTGTTCTCACTTCCAAAATGATCTTTTCCTCTCATTCATATTTAAGCTGAAGAAGAAAAAAAAATATTCCTTGAAAAATTTACTACGGCCTACCCCATAAAAATAATGCCAAGAAGAGCACTTCATCAAGCGTCCAAAGATCAAAGAGTTTTTCGGGATCTACTATTAACACTTTTTGCCAACACTTATATTTTGCGGTTTCATGGCAATAATTTTTCAGTCCCTGCTGATATATCTGCCATATATAGATTATTTAAAGCGTATGCCTGCGTATTGTAAATAGACTAAGTACTTTAGTACGATTTCATCTTTGAGTAGCGAGCAATAAAAAGCAAGTCATTAAAATCGCATTACTAACAGCCATATTTTAAGGCTCTAATGTTGTTAGTGCATTGACATTCACTTCCACATGTGCAACGGTACTAATGATATATTCGATGTTATATGCATTTTTGGTATCAAGAGAAACCAAAAAAAAAAAAAAAAAATAAATAAATAAATAAATAAATATATAAATAAAGAAATAAATAAAAAAAAAAAAAAAAACAAAAACTAATGTTCATGCTTCAGTTTTGACTTTCTCCCTTCACTATGTGATGCGTATGCATTATGCGAGAACCATTTGCATATGAATGCCTGTGTTTATGGTCAACGTTGACAAAACAAAATAATCGTAATAAAAACAAAGCACGGCGAATTAAAATATATAAATTTAATGAAATAAACAAATTTCAATAATATAAACTAACGGCGGAAGCCTTAAAATGAAAACCATTCCTGTGTAGTGCATTTTAATGTCGATTTTTTTCCCAAGCGATTTTTAAAATATTGGCAAAAACGACTGATAAATATCAAGTTTATTTTCGATATTAATGGTATATAAATTGCAGTTGGCATGATAGTGACCCGATTAAATAAAGATATATAATGAATAGCTATTTTTGGTAAGTTTTTTTACAGCAAGTGTGACAGATTGAAGACTCGTTTTATGTACACCTCCATATACACATACATAAGTTCCCGAATTTATTCTACAGAAATAAGATAATTGATTGTTTGAAAATTATCGCTTTTAAAAAAGGTTACTAAGGAATTATTAGAAGATAAGATAACAATGCTAATAGGACCACGACAAAAAAAAAAAAACAATAAAAAAATCTGCATTCAGTTGGGACCGAATATTTTATACACATTACCGTTTTGTATAATAATTCTGTGGAAATTTATGTAGCATGTTTCTGATCTAATTTAGCAGGGCAATGGTTGACACCATAGGCGTGTTCTTGCCCTACTTGAGCCATTTTTAGATTCTCTTGCAAATTTTTAAGCGGTATTTTCTTTTTTGCGAAAGGGGAAAATTTTTGCCCCAAATACTACGCAGTTGGGTAGACATAGGGAGGGATAGACGAACAAACGGACTTGCTTAAGTGCATTCCGAATTTGAAGCTGGCCAAGACTTTACATATTTTATGGGCTTTTTGCAGCTTGCTTTTGTGCGTCATGACAGTAAAATACACTATAATATTGGATAGGTGTGGTCAATTTTTTCCACATTTTTACTACAACGTCGTTCATACAATACACATTTAATTTTTTGTCGATTTACTTTTGTCGTTTATGAGCAATGAGGGAAAATGCAATTTTTGATCGTTTTGAAAAAGAGAGGTTTATACTCACTTTACATAATATTGTAGGGGCGTCCTTCGATCGATTTGGCCTATTTTCAGTAACAACCTGAGAGCAAGAACTCTTACTACTTTTACCAAACTTGAATTTAATAGCTTTCGTTTTGCGGTCAGGTGAATGTTTATAATAGACATTACATAGATGGGCAGACAGTTGGATGGATGGACGGACAGATGGATAGACGGACAGATGGATAGATGGACAGATGGGCAGACGGACAGATGGATAGACGGACAGATAGACAGACGGACAGATGGGCGGACGAACAGATGGGCAGGCGGACAGATGGATAGATGGATAGACGGACAGATGGATAGATGGACAGATGGGCAGACGGACAGATGGATAGACGGACAGATAGACAGACGGACAGATAGACAGACGGACAGATGGGCGGACGAACAGATGGGCAGGCGGACAGATGGATAGATGGATAGATGGATAGATGGATAGATTGGCACGCTTAAATTGATTCACAATTTGCTGCAGATTAAGAATATATGCACTACATTGTAGGCGTGGCAAACGTTTTGACAAAATGAATATTACTTTCATTCTTTGGTGATGGGTGATGATAAAAAAAATGATGGTAAGATTGTTTCTGAGAATCTCCCGTTCTCGCAATTTGTACAAGAGTCTCGATAAAGGGCGGACATCCTTTGCAAGGACTCTGTTTCTTTTAAATTGTTGGTTAAGTTCTCTCATAATGTGGGTCGGGATCGACCACAAAAGGAAGTCGTAATACTTGGCTACTTGGCTTGGCTGCTTAATGCGGGCTTTTTCGATCTCGACGATTGGTTTTATTAGATTACCAAAATTTGTATTACTTGCAAACAACAGCATTTTGTCGGCCAAATTTTGCAGTCAGCCATCTTTATTTGGTTTAACATAATTCATAGCAGATGGTTAGATTGCAAGAGTATAATCTTTTATTTACAATGCGTTAACTGTTATGAGAATCATTTCTTGCCAGTTATTACATAATTTTTCTTAAGAGCAGTGTACATATTGAAAAGAGCTTAGGTAGGTGTTCTCGAAAGAATAATGCGATGTCTAACGGAATTTTGTTTGGATAGTTCACCGATCTGCAGAGAGTGTAATATTTCATAAATGAAGTATGCGTTGCCTATAAAGACTTTATGCATACGAGTTTTGTTTTCTGTTTTGCAATTCTGTTGTTTTATTGTTGTTTGGATTGTCGAATGCACAATAATTGGGATAAGGTAGTAAAACGTATCATGGATCGATAGATAGAAAAGGGAAAAATCAGAGAAGAAGTTTGTTTTTTTTTTTTTACTTTGCTATCGACCGAGATGTTGTAGCAAATTAATTTTTGCTTTTACGAAATTATTATTATTGTTAATGATGTGAAATCTTAAAGAAAACGTAATTCAGTCATAAATAAGTATTAATTAAATATTAGTGTTAAGGTTAATATTGATTATTGATTGCATTCATTCACCCACCAGCCACAGTTTGTAAGGGACCGAACATGCCAGCAAACTCATCATCACCAGACTGGTATATGCGGTCATTGCTGATCACATAGGAATCATCATTATAAAATTGCAATAACATATCGTTTTGTTCGTTGTTTAAAATGTCTGAAAAATAAAATTGAAAATTAAAAAAAAAAAAAAAAAAAAAAAAAAGAAGAAAATTTAAGAAGAAATAATAATAAAGTTTTTACAAAACAATAGTTAAAATAATATAAAGTTAAATAAAATAAACTTAAGAGACTTTTTACATTATTTCATAAACAGAGCGTGTGTTACCTGCATCATGTTCATATTTGATTATTAGCAGTAAACAATATTAGCATAAGTTATGCATATGAAATGAGTGAAAAAATAATTCGCTTGTAAAAGCGATGACATACATAAGTACCGATATACGAAGAGGATGACGTGTGTGTGATAAAACAAAATCTTATTTAGCGTCCATATTGCCGGAGGTTACTTTTTTCTGTTATTAGTTGTTGGTTTAGTAATTCACAATTTGCCATAATAGCGCATCGACAACATGGAAAATAGTTTTTGTTATTTAACACGAGATTGTTGTTGGTTTTCTTTCAGTTTAACCTTACACTTACTTCAGCCCCGATCAATTTATCATTTCATCGAATTGGATAATTTTCCTCTTAATATACTTGGCGATGAAAACATAAAATAAAATGAAACAAAAAAAAAAAAAAAAATAAAAAAAAAAAAAAAAATAAGAAAATATGAAATGAATCGTGTTGTTTTCTCTTTTTCTCTTATCCTTGTTCTTTTTCTCTATCTCTCTTCCTTTCTCCCTCTCTATTCAGCGAGAAACACGCAAGTGTTAGCTTCTCTATGATATAATGTTTCATGTTTCCTGGGTTGTTCCCTATTCACTATATTTTCAATTATGTGCTTCTGAAATTGCCGTTGGCAATTGCCAATGTGTTGAGATGTGGTGCAGCGTCGTTGTTGTTCTTGTTGTTCTATAGATAATGACGACGATTATGATTATGATGGTTACAATAACAACCATAGCAGTGACGTGGTGTTCATGTTAAAAATGACATCCATTAAATTTTCATAATTTTCATTACATGAACGTTATTAACCTTAAAAAGAAATGAATTTCTCCTCATGCACTTTGCCGACTACAAATAATTATCTCTTCCTTTTTATGCCCACCAACAAAAGACAAGGAGTTTATTAAATTTTGCCATTACTCTTACAAAGCAGAAATGCTTATTGCAAGCTTAATAAATTTTAAATAAATCTATTTAATTAGCGGGAAATTATAATATATATCCATTTTAATATATTCATGTTCTCATCTGTCCACTTTTCTAAGACTTTTTACTCTTCGAGTACAATAAGATAAAAAAACTTAAGATTTTCCCTTGAATTTTCGTATCGAATTTCAAACATAGAGTGGATAGTGTCGGCATGAACAACTCCACAATAAATAAGATATAGAAACAGAATTCGTAAAAAGCATGAAAATCAATATATTGATACTGATTGACCCATTAGCATTATGCAAGATCTTGGCAATGCAAAAGTACAAACAGCCCATATTTTTGCCATAGATTTGCTCTAAAATGCATATCATTCTTTCCTTTTGTTTCCATCATAGCTATGCTCACTAACGTAGAATGAATGCCTGATCCGATGCCAATCGACCCGCACGTCAATTTAATCTTTATGAATAGCGAAGTTGGCAAGCATTGTGACTACCAAGTGCAGGCGGTAGGAAGGCATCACACTAACCGATCCGACAGAAATGCACTAGTTTGACCCCGTCACCTCCATATCTCTTTCTTTTTTTTCTCATTTCTTTTTGATAATCACCCTATTACACAAGAGATAGGAGTCCATCTGCTGACATGAAAAAAAAGTTCTTTCATTGATTTGTTAGTCTGTCGGTCCATTTGTCAGACCATTCTCTCTTATTACACAGCGGATGGTCGAAACAATTCAAATGAGACTTATAGACGGACGTATTTAGCCCTTACACACGGATAAAAAAAAGCAAACAAGGTACAATTTCAACTTACGCCAAAACGGATTTAGGACTGTCGTGCGAGAATAGGAAGAAATAAGTGAATGACTTTACGGATAAAAATAAACCTAACAGGTATTGAAGTCATATATTTATCTCCTAGGACTGTTTTAAAATTCTTTGCAAATAATTTTCGATCGATTCACTGACACGCCTACAATTAAAAATATGCTTTAAGCGTTTAATGTTGCAAAGAAAATCAGCAAGTCATTGGAGGCACAGTGCAGATGAACGGCAAACTAAAGGATTTGTTAAATCGTCCGGAATAGCATATAAGGTTTTGGAACCGCAAATTAGCGATATCCGTCTCCTAACTAGCTTCTACGGGGACCGCAACTACCGCAAAGTAAACCAACGTACAGGATACGAATGCATGGCCATCCATGGCCGAATTAGTTGCCAGATTTTTGTAAAAACTTTAATAAGGTAAGAAGGTAGAGGGATTCATTAGAATCTTAAAGCTGGACGTTTAGGGGTAATAGCGAGAACAATAGATCTGTTTAGAAAGCAGCATGAGTTGCCCATTATATAATAATACAATACGAGACATTACAATAGAAGTCTTCCGTACATTTGTGTGACATTATGAGCACATTAAAGAAATATAGCTTAAGGCATATATAGCTTTTTTACTTATATGCATATTATTTATTTATATATACTGTATTTAGTATTATAATAATAAGTATTTTATTGTTTTTAGTAATTTACGCAAACACATACATTATGTAATATACTTTTGCTTTGAAGTTATTGCAAAAACAATTTACAATAATTTTCAGAATACACTTACGAAAGATATTATCTCGTATGCGTGTGTTTATACGAATTACTTAACTTTGTTGTTGTCTAAGACACATGAGTACACTTTTTAAGTCAAGTATCATATTTTCTGTTTATTTTCTAAAAGGAGAAGAGTGACACATAATCTGTCTACTATATTATGTGAGTGTGTGCGTGTGCATGCACTTTAACTAATACATACTTATACTTACTTATATAAGAATACATGAAATAAATATATATATATATATATATATATATATATATATATATATATATATATA